TTTCCTTTTTTTTTTTTTTTGTAACATTTTTTTTTTTTTTTTTTTTTTTTTTTTGCAAATAAAGTTTGTGAAAAAGTACAGGTAATTTTTCTACTTGTGGGAAATTGTGGGCTGATTATCTTTAGGCTTAGCTCTGGGGCTTCCTGGTTCCTCAGAAAACGGCCGTTGGCCCTGACTTCTCAGTCAGTGAGAAGGGCTCAGAGGCCCTGCGTTGGGTCGGGCCTGGCCACTGGGAGCTGTGGACCCTCCACAGGGAGAGGCGCTGCGAGCTGGGCCTCCTCGGGACTGGCCCTGCCCGCATGTGCTAGCTTGACTCTCTCCTTCTTCTTTTCTAGTCTACGCCATCGCCGTCGGCAGACCTGCTGGGTCTGGGGGCGGCTCCCCCCGCCCCTGCGGGGCCCCCACCCTCCGGCGGCGGGCTGCTCGTGGATGTGTTCTCAGACTCGGCTTCTGCGGTCGCACCTCTCGCCCCCGGCTCTGAAGACAACTTTGCCAGGTAGTCAGGCTTCCGGAGCCCTGGGCTGGGCCGGCGCACTGGGTGGGCAGCGGCGTTGCCTCCCGGGGCTGCTGGTGAGAATGGACGGCATTGTTCTGTGGGCGGCTTTGTTCTTGAACAACCCCTCCCACCACCACCGTGCCTTAAGTACCAGTAGGGTGCCAGTTTTCCTAAAAGACAGTTGACATTTTCAAGAGGAAAAGATAGGTAACAGGAGCCACCCTGGCTGTGATCTGTCTTGCGCTGCTCGGCTGTGCCGTTCGTTCTTTCTAGAACGTGTCATAAGTCCTCTCTGTGGCTGTGTTCCTTCTTCCTCTCCATCATTCTCCTGTTTCCAGCTGCTTTCACCCTGACTTTAGTCACTACGTGTGTAACTGTCTTCCAGGCACCCACTTGTCCTTTCCCCTTTTTCTTTCTGTCCACCCTTCAGCCCACGCCAAAAAGGAATTCTGTATTTGCTTAATTGCTGACTTACTGCCAAGCCCGTGCGCAGTGCGTGCCCCGCCATCACCCTGCCCCCAGCACACGCCTGCGCTGTCATCAGGTGTCTGTGCACCCTTGGGCGCCTTTGCTCCCTGTTCCCCCCGTTTTCCAAACCTAGCTGTCAGACCGCCCTCGGAGCCATGCCCCTTCCTTGTTGCTGCGTCCCCCTCCTGGCTCTCGGCCCCACACCTGTCTGCTTGTCTTCGCATCTGGTCCGAGGTGCGTGAAGCCCCGCACTGGGCCTGCTCCCATTCTCCCTGCAGAGTGAGTGCACACTGTCCTGCACAGAGACTAGACGGTCTCCAGGAACGGCCCTTTGTCCCCTGTTCTGAGACTACAGCCGACTCCTCGTGGTTTTAACTTGCCTCCAGTCTCTGTAGTCGGAGTGCAGCTGATCACGCCTCCCTGCTACTTGTGAAAGACGCCTCAGGAGAGACAAGGCGGTTCTGGTTGCCTTCCCCTGGCTGGAAGCAGACTTCTGTCTCTGGCAGATGACCGGGTGGGGTGGGAACACGGGGTGCATCAGGGCAAACGTCCAATGTGGCCGCGGCTTATGGCGTAGGGCAGGTGCCTCGCCACTGGCTTTCTCAAGTGGTTTTTATCCACCCTGTACCTTCTTCAGGGTCAGCAGTTCTCTCAGCGGTTGAGAGACCTTTTAAACAATACCATCCACCTGGAGACACGGACAAGGCAGGGGCCCCTGTCACATAGTGTGTTCTTGACAGATGACAGTTGAAAGCGGCCGAGTCCACTCAAGGTGTGCACGGCCGTGTTCTGCATGGCCCCGCCTGCCCAGCCCGCGTGCCGTGAGTGCCCTGTGCTGTCTTCTACAGTCCCATGCCCAGCACTTCTCCTGGGCATGGCCAGAGGCCGCGATTAGTTCCAGGGGAAATGTGGGGATGGACTGCCTTTTACCTGTGCATCTGCGCCTGGCCAGAGCTAGCCAGATAGCCCACTGGGTTGTGATCTGGAGGACTGTGGGGACACAAGGGAAGGACGAAACAGTGGGGCAGGCGGCTGTGGCCTTGAGGGTGTGGAGGGGCCGCTGCCTTGACAGCTCTTGAGTGCTTGGCAGGCCCTGGTGTAGCCTGCAGAGCCCTGCAGGTCCTTCAGGTGTGCCCAAGGCCCCCTGAGGGTCTTTCTGTTCACTGTCACTCTGCATTGTCATGACTGTCGCCACCCGTGTCTCTGCCTCCCCTGTCTTCTGTCTGTGCTGCTCGAGGTGACCCTAGCCCACTCGAGAGTGCTGGTTTCAGAGAAGCCGTCTGGCACTGCGCGGTGCTGAGGGTACCTGCGTGTGAGCCGCCGGGGGCCGCAGGGAGGCAGCTGCTCCAGGTGGGGCAGACCTCTACGCGGGCTCCTCCGATGAACAAGCAGGAACCAGGCACCGTTACCCCCTAGTTCTGCATGGCGTAGAGGCCCCGTAGTGAACTACCCCTGGGCGCCCTGTACATCGCAAACACCAGCCATGCACTCAGGAGAGACAGAAGAGCCGGGAGAGGACAGGAGACCAGAGGAGAAAGGAAGGGACGAGGGCGGAGGAGGAGCTGCCCGAGCTGTGTGCATTTCATCTGGGAGTAGCCTGGGCAGATGCCGGGGTCCTCTCAAGGGAGTCCAGTGCCCCTGCTGGACGGAGGCGGTGCTCTGACCACGTGCCTTTCCGCCCTGTCCTGCCCACCTCACGGCCCCTCTCGGACCTGCTTGTGTGTCTGCTGACTACTCACTTACCGCTTCTATGGTCGCCTTCGGAATATTCTTTTTGCTTTTCTTGTGTCCCATGGAAGTTGTTCTGGCTGTAATGTGTTTTACACCGTTGTTCAAAACAAACCCTGTATTTCAGTGAGTGGCTTTGCGTGACACCCTGACTGTCCCTCTCCCGCAGGTTTGTTTGTAAAAACAATGGTGTGCTGTTTGAAAACCAGCTGCTTCAAATTGGACTTAAGTCTGAATTTCGGCAGAATTTAGGTATGTGTTTTAAAAACAATTCTCTTAGAAATTATGGGCAATTTTGAGAAAATATTTGCAAATCATATGCTGATAAAGGATTGATATCTAGAGTACGTAATGAACTCCTACAACTCAACCAAAAAATGAACAACCCGATTAAACAATGGTGGCGTGGCGGTTAAGGCACTGGCTTCCTGTATGACTGAGGTTTGAGTCTTGGATCCGGGGGCTTGAAAAATCACACTGGGAACCAGCAGATGGCATAATGACTACATCGCTGGACTCTCATGTAGTCAACCACGGTTCGAGTCTTGGACCCGGTGGCTTAAACTCACACCAGGCGTGTGTGCATGCACGTGTGCGTGCGTGCCCAAGATCCTGAGAAGAGAATGGAGGAGAAGGGGTTGTGGTGTGGCCATCCCCCTGGGGGGTGATTTCTCGCTTTCTCTCTCTTTTTGGCAAGCGCACGTGTTCTATAGCAGAAACTCCAGAAAAGAAAAATCACACTGGGTGCATGTGTGAGCATGCCCCAAATCCCGAGGAGAGTGGAGAATGCCGTGTGGCCATTCTCCCTGGGGGCGGGGCAGGTTCTCATTTTTCCTCTCTCTGTCTCTTTCGGGAGTGCAAAGGATTTGAAAAGACATTTGCCCAGAGAAGATGCACAGGTGGCCGATAAGCACGTGAAAAGGTGCTCGGCATCGTTATTCATTCGGGCAGTGCAGATCAGCGCCCCCAGGTGCCACCTCACGTCCATTGGGTGGCCATTATGAGACGAACAAGTGAAAGGAGGGAAGTGCTGGCCAGGGTGCGGGGGCGCTGGACGCCTGTGCACTGCGGGCAGCAGTGGAGGGGTGCGGCTCCTGAGGAGAGCTGTGCGGACCCGGCAGCCCGCCTCTGGGTCTGCAGGCAGGGTTGGGAGCAGAGTCCCAGAGAGACCTGTCCCTCGCACTCGCAGCACTGCCCCGTGTCAGGAGGAAGCAGCCCAGGCGCGGCCGGCAGCGGAGTGCAGACTGTCCATACGGTGCAGCACCCTCAGCCTTAAACAGGAGGGACAGTCTGACACAGGCTACGACGTGGGTGGGCCTCGAGTGTATTGTCCAGTGACATGAGCCAGATGCCAAGGGACAGTGCTGTAGAATCCCACTGTTGAAGGTCTGTAAGACAGTCAAGTTCATAGCCAGGTAGTAGGAAGGGGTTGCCGGGGCCAGGCGGAGAGGAAGGAGGGCCTTACCGTGTAAGTTTTCATGATGAACGGAGTGCCCTGTATTTAATGCCCTTGATTGTAGGTTTGGAAATGGGTTAAGGGAAAAGTTAAATTTCGTGTGTTTTACCATAACTTTAAAAAAGGAAAATCTCTGGAGAAGAATATGCTCTGCCCAGTGGACTGTGGGGACTGCTGTGGCGGAGCGCCTACTGGTGCAGACATGCCCGCCCCCTCGGTGTCCTCATGAGCCCACAAGGACGCCGCGCTCTGTGTGAGGGAAGAGAGGCTGCACCCCGTCCCCCACGAGCCCTGCGGCAGCGCTCGGGGAACAGTGACTTTCACGGGAAATGGTGTATTGAAGACCGAGTACATGATTTTATTTCCAATTTAGTTTTTAAACTTTGGGCTGTGGTACCTTCACCTAGGTTTTTGTTTTTGGTTTTTAGATTGCGGAAGGAGGGATGCCAAACTGCGTGCCCTTTTCAGAATATTGAGGTTCACTTTCCTTTCTGGATTCACGGGTGTAGAATGTCCACAGAGATCCGTGTAGAGATTCGTATTGGTCGGCCATCCGAGACCTGTCGCGGCGAGGCCCACAGCGTGTTGCTGCTGAGGGACGGTGCCTGGCCTGGGCAGTACTGGCACGTCCGGCCCGTGCACAGCCGCAGTTGGGCCCAGCAGAGGCCAGTGTGGTAGCGGCGTCCCCGTCAGTGTGAGCTGAGCCCCCCGACCTGCTCTTCTGTTGGTTCTCCCCTGCTCACGCGTGTGTGGTTCCATTTGTGCACATGTAGGTGTGTGGCAGGAGCCCATAGTTGTGGGTGCTGGAGGTGGAGGTGCCTCTCACCCCTGCTCCCAAGCGCGGCGTGCTGTATTTGAGACTGGGAAGCACATTTCACGGCTCCAGCAGCGGCCAAGAGCACAGCGGGTCACGTGTAACGGGCCCAGGGCTCACTGTTAATAACCAGCACGGGTGTGAAGTGGTGTGTCTGAAATAAGCTGTTTTTGTTTTCTTCTAGGTCGGATGTTTATATTTTATGGAAATAAGACCTCCACGCAGTTCTTAAACTTTACTCCAACACTAATCTGCTCAGATGCACTGCAGTCTAATATCCTTGATTCTGGAACCAGCAGTTAGCACAATGGCTATGTCGCTGGACTCCCATGTAGTCGACGCGGTTCAAGTCCCGGACCCGGTGGCTTAAACTCACACCGGGCACGTGTGTGTGCGTGTCCAACATCGCCAGAGGAGAATGGAGGAGAAGGGATTGTGGCGTGGCCATCCCCCGTGGGGGGTGATTTTTCGCTTTCTATCTCTCTTTCTGGTGAGCGCATGTGCCCTATAGCAAAAAAAAAAAAAAAAAAAAAATCCTTGATTCCACCGGCACAGACAGTGATTTGGGGGCCCGAGGATGCTCTGAGCACGCGTCCACTTGTGTGGTTTTACCTTTCCAGATTCCTGGTACAGCCAGGTAATTCTCCCTAGTTGGGAGCTGGTTTTTGATAATGCATCTAAAATGGTGTTCTTGTGTCCCTGAGCTCTGGTCTCCTCTGGGGGGCCTGTCGAGAGGCTGTGGTGATGCAGTCTGTGGCGACGTGGAGCTCACCGCATGCGTGGGTGGCCGTGTTTACTTCTGGCCCACATGAAGGCTTGACCCCTGGTAGATGGCGGGGGCGTTATTAGGACGTTTCTAGCTGCAAGTGAGGAGTACCAGGCTCAGCTTTACTGTTCAGCTGTCTCCCCCAAAGATGTCAGGGTGAGGACGACCCCAGCTTTGTCAGAGAAACTGAGGTCTTCTCTTGGGATTTGTGGTTCAAGTCACATGGGAAACAGAAGCTCCTCATCATGGGCCGAGTCCATGCTCGTCTGACGATGAGTATGTTTAAACACAGACTATTAATGCTCATTCATGGCAGTCATTAAAACTACACATACTGGGCCCACAGGTGGTGTGGAGGTTAGGGCTCAGGGTCCCATGGCTGACTATGTGGTTTGAACCCTGACCTGGCGGCTTGAACATCACACCGGAGTGAGGGCAGCAGTTGGCATTGTGGTTAAGGTGCTAGACTCCCACATGGCTGACTGCTGTTCAAGTCCTGGACCTGGCTGCTTGAAACTGATGCCAGGGGTGTGTTCGTGTATGCCCCCAATCCCAGGAGGATAACGGAGGAGAAGGGATTGCGGTGTGGGCATCCCTCCCTGGGTGGGGGGTGATTTCTCACTTTCTGTCTCTGTCTCTCTAGTACATGCATGTGCCCTAGAGCAAAAGGGGGTGATCTCTTACTTTCCCTCTCTCTGTCTCTCTCCCTCTCTCTCATGGCAAGGACACATGCCTTCATGCAAAAACTAAAGAAAAAAAGAATTCAGCAGACATAGGATCAATCAGCTGCATTAGTGGCCTCGTCCTTTTAGGATCAGGAGCATCAGCTTTGACTCCTGCAGGTCTGCCCTCTCTCTCCCCAGGTTCCCTGAGCTGCTTGGGGGGCACAGTGCCCTACAGCTGAGTGACTGGTGGGCACACGTCGGTTTGGGACTAGAAGACGCAGATAGTGTTTTGTGGCTTGTCTTGGCCAATTCTCATGAGCTAGGGTCCTGGGCCTGTTTCATGGTAGTGATGAGGTGGGTGGGCATGTGCTGGCCCCTGGGGGCCACAGTGGCCACAGGTGTGGCATCTTCTGGCTGCTCTCTGCCACGTACCTGACTCACCAGTTGGTCTGGACTCCTTGACGTGCACACACCTGAACCTGCAGACCAAGCCCGTGGACCCGACTGTGGATGGGGGCGCACAGGTGCAGCAGGTGGTCAACATAGAGTGCGTGTCAGACTTCACAGAAGCACCGGTCCTCAACATCCAGTTCAGGTAAGAGTTGGCTGTCCATCCCAGGTGTGGCGTGTGCGTGGGCCCTGAGCACTGTGCCTGGGAGCCGCTGTTGTTGTGCGGCCTCTGGCATATGCTGTGCAAGTGTGTGGCATTAGCTGCTGTGGCGCGTGGCGTTCCAGGGTGTGGGGATGCGAGCTCCGACCCACAGTGGCACTGTGGGAGTTCCCACGGCAGGGCTTCTGTTGCTGCCTGTGGCCTGGCAGGCGCAGGGGCTTCCGGCTGTGGGGGCGCCCCACAGGTTTGCAGATCCGGGGCCCACATGCCTCCTGGCTTGCTTGGCTAGGAAAGACAGCTACAGGGGGATGGTGGCTGGTTCCCACCAGACCCTGGGCTAGCACCGGGCGTCTTTTCCCGTTAGATCTTGCCTTTTGCTTTTTTTTTTTTCTTAAATAAGTGCTTTGTATTGAAACTATGACCATCACCCTCATTTTCCAGTGATTGGAGCAGAATGTACATACTCAGCCAGCCTCCTCTGGGCTGCAGGGCTAAGATGTGTGGAAAAATGTATTCCACACAGTGAGAATACAGAGAACTTAAGATTGTGTACTTGGCAAAATTTAGGGAAATGGACTTGAAAGTTTTTCTTTCACACTATAGGCAGATTCTTTTCTATAGTCTTTTTTTGTTTGTTTGTTTTTGAGAGGTTTTTCACTATAGCGCGCGTGTGCTCGCCAGAAAGACAGAGAGAGACAGAGAGACAGAAATCGAGAAATCACCCCCCAGGGTGGATGGCCACGCCGCAATCCCTTCTCTTCCATTCTCTTGGGATCCTGGGCACGCACGCACACGCGCCCGGTGTGAGTTTAAGCGGCCGGGTCCGGGACTTAAACTGCGGTCAACTATGTGGGAGTCCAGCGACATAGCCATTACACTAATTGCTGGTCCCTCTTTTCTATAGTCTTCTCATGGGAACAAACCTTACACACTTTATACAGACTTGGATCAGGAAAACAGGTTAATGGGGAAAAGCACAGTGGCGGTGGGTCCTGAGGGAGGGCACCTGCTGGTGGTGGACAGGAGGGAGCTGGTCCGCACCGTCTCGTCTGTAAAGGACACTGGTCACCAAGCTGCTCTTAGTGGGGTGGGCCAAAGATCTTGGCCCATGGAGGCTTGTGGCTCTGCCCCCTCTAAGAACACTCTGTGGGGCTCTTCGACATCTGGTCGCCACTTTTCACACTTGGTCTTATCTGTGCACTGAGGATGTGCAGACCTGGAACGTCTGTGGATTTACGCTCTCCGATGTGTCGTGTCTCTCACGCATAGGTATGGGGGGACCTTTCAGAATGTGTCTGTCAAGCTGCCCATCACACTCAACAAGTTTTTCCAGCCCACAGAAATGGCTTCTCAGGACTTCTTTCAGCGTTGGAAGCAGCTGAGCAGGTGAGAAGGCAGCCCTGCAGGAGTGGAGGCCTGCCCGCGGGGTGGGGGTGGGGAGTGGCGGGGCAAGGGGTTGGGTGGGGGAGATCACTGGGTGGAGGGGTCTTTCGGTCTCCGGAGTGGCCCAGGACACCTACCTTCACTGTTACTCCTCACAGCCCACAGCAGGAAGTGCAGAACATTTTCAAAGCCAAGCATCCGATGGACACGGAGATTACGAAAGCCAAGGTAAAGCCTGCGGAGAGACAGCCCTGGAGGCTACGCCGAGCCTGTGGCCCAGCACCAACGTCTCGCTTCTGTCTCTTTTGCACAGATTATTGGATTTGGCTCTGCACTCCTTGAGGAGGTCGATCCTAACCCTGCAAACTTTGTGGGGGCTGGCATCATACATACCAAAACCACGCAGATCGGATGCTTACTGCGTCTGGAGCCGAATCTGCAAGCCCAGGTCAGGCCTCTCCAGGAAACTGCCGAGTACACTTCGGTTTTCATTTTTTTTATAGTGACATAATTTATCCATTGTGGGATAGCACACATCTTAAGTGTAGTTTGATCAGTTTCATTGGTGTGTGTAGTCATGTCGCCACCACCCCATCAATATATTCAACGTTACTGTCACCCCAGAAAGTGCCCTTGGGGCTCAGCCTCTCCCCGAGGGCCACCGCGGGACGTGGTCCCCTGGGAGCAGGCCCAGCCCTGCACTGCTTTGCAGCGTTGTGATGGCTGCTTGATGTCCCTCCGTACTGCTCCTGTTGGTGTCACCAGGCACTGCTCCTTCTCTGGGTGGTCCCAGCTGGCCAGCTCTCCTACAGGTGGATACTGGTTTTCACATTCCTGGGCAGTACCTGGGAGTGTGCTTCCCAGCTCACAGGGCGCGTGCACAGTTCTCGTTACTGAAGCTGCCAAAGTGCCTTCCAGAGTGGCCATCCCCACACGTGCCTACTAGCTGCATGGGCTTCCAGCTGCTCTGTGTGCGGGTGCCACTCACTGTTGCCAGAGTTTTTCTTTTTTTTAAGCCAGAGGGCATGTGTGCATGCAGGAGATGGAGAGGGGCACCCTGACGAGGCCTGGCCCTGCAGCAATCCTGCCTCCAGTTCCTCACAGCATCAGGATCCGGGGCATGCACCAGGCCTATTTTTCAAGCCACTGGGCTGGGATTTAAACCCTTGTCAGCTACGTGGGATCCAGCTTCCTCTGCATGTGCTTAGCTGCTGCCCTCCAGGGTCGGTCCTGCTGGACTTCCCTGTGTTTGCTGCTGGTGCGATGCTCAGACTCTGAAACACTGGGCAGCTCCAGAGAGGGGCTGGGCAGGGGAGGGCTTGAGTGGCCCCTGGCTGTCTGCACGGGAGCCCTGGCAGGCCCGCTGAGCTGCTGTGTTGTTTCAGATGTACCGACTCACACTGCGAACGAGTAAAGAGACCGTATCTCAGCGATTGTGTGAATTGCTGTCGGAGCAGTTTTAATCAACGAGGATGGAAGACAAGCTCACGTGTTTGTCATTTCTCTTCGTCTCTCCTGTCTGTCTTCGTTACCACCCTGCAGTATACACCCCTTGTCCGAATGCCCAGTCCCGGCACCCCTAGCCCTGCCGTCCAGACTCTGGCCCTTTTGGGTGTGGACGGGACACAGATGCGCAGTTGAGAAGAAAGCTGAGCCTGACTGCAGCAGGCCTGCCGAGTCAGAGGATGGCACGTGGACCCCGGGGTCAGTTTTTATAGAATCAAGACAGTCCTGTGGTTATATCTACAAATTAAAGGGAAATGAGCAGCCTGAATGGAGAAGGAGATTCTGTTGAGGTTTATTGAGGTGCCGCGGCTGTGACTCTGGTCTGCATCCCCGGCTCCCCGAGAGCAGCAGCACGCTGGCCAGGCCATGCCTCCGCTCTCTGGCTGTCCTGGGGACACCAGAAGCAGGGTCTTGCCTGGGACTGATTCCTGGCCCAAAGAGCATGTCAGCCCTGGGCCCCCCGGGAGGGTTTGCTGTAGCTCCAATGGGGCAGGTTTTCTGAGGCAGGAATTTTAAATCTGGAAGTGACATTGTACTTGGAACGACTATTGGCAGAACTGCGTGTCCTGGTGAGACTGAATTCTGTCCCTTCTCAATATCGGTGTTCTTCAGGGGCCTTTGTCATGTCGTTCTTGCTGTCTGAGACCTCGCATTTGTGGTTTGGTGAGGGGGGTGTCTGGTGGCCCTGGCAGGTGTGTGCACCACTCCTGCTCGGGGCTCAAGGGAGTGTCGTCCCCGTGGTGCGCTCTGAGGACTTGGAGGCACGAGCGCAGAGCGACACTCTGGAAGGTGTGCTTCTCTCCCCCCTGGGCTGTCACCTGGCAGTATCATTTTCTCCGTGCCCAGGTGTTACATGGGGTGGAGCAGAGGAGGGAGGGCTCGGTATGTTCGGACAGGAAATGAGGAACACGGGGTGGGGGAAATGGCAGCCCCTGGACACGCTGGGGATACACTGGAGCCCTTGGTCTGCACGCTGTCCTGTCTTCACCCAGACTCTGTGTCTGGCACCTGCAGACAGGAGGGTGGAGCAGGGCTCAGAGGCCTTGGGAGCCAGGGCCTGGCACTCCATCCTGTCCTGAGGTGACGTGTGGGATCAGCACAGACCCAGGTCGGGCAGGCTTGTCCTAACGCACACGGCTGTTGCTGGCACTTGAGGCAACTTAAGAAGAGCGAGCCCAGGAACCATCTTCGGCGTCACTGCTTCACCAGAGCACTGATTCCGCTGCCTGCAGGAGGGCAGGCGGCCTCGCCCAGGCCCCTGCCGTCAGCTGCCTAGGGTGCTGGGTCTGGGAGCAGCTGCCAGGAATCTCGTCCTGCCCACCCCGTGTGACCGCAGGGCTGTGCCGTGTGTGTCCCAGCGTGTTGGACACGGACCTGAGGCGACTGTGTCAGAGGAGCAGCCCCGCTCCGGCCCTCCTGCTCTCTGGCTGTGGCTGTGGCTGCTCCAGCCTGTCTTGGGACACACCGGGAGTAGCCTGGGCTTGCACTGCAGGGGATGCCCTCACCTGCCATGGGACGGTGCAGTGTGCGTGTGGCCTCGTGGACCATGGGCCACCAGGCCCTGGCTCATGTGCCCTGTGTGGCTCATGGCGACAGTTTCCTCAGCTAGTCACCACGTTCCCTGGAGCACAGAAAAGGCCTCACTCGCAGCGCTACTCCAGGGGAGGGAGGGGCCGTCAGCGGAGTGTGCTCCTTTCAAAGTACAATAAAGTGCTCCAATGACCCACGTGTGTGTGCTCTTTGAGGGCAGGAGTGTCAACCTCCGTGTCAGGCTCGCGGCCCTGACCTGTGTGCTGTGGGATATGGGTGCCGAGGTCCCTGGAGTGTGGTCCGCCCCAACCTGTCCTTCCAGCTTGCCATCACCTGGGGTCGTGGGCAGGTGCGGAGACAAGGGTGCATCAGGACGTGCCGTGTCTTTTGCTCCACAAGTTTGACTTGGGGTGTGTGGTCGAACCTTGAGGGATACCTTCTGTAGGGACCCCTCAGCCTGGCCTCTGCAAAGCGTCCAACAGCACACGCAGACCCAGGGGTTCCTTCCCGAGGAGCCCCCCATGGAGCCAATCGATCGCACACAGGACTGGGAAGGGTGGCTGCTGGGGGACAGTGGCTTCACCGTCGACTGTCATGCGCCAGGGAGGAGCCTTGTGGGTGGGCATCAGAGGGGTGGGCCTCAGGCCAGAGGCCAGTCCCTTCCAGGCTGACACCCGCCTGGAGACACTGCCCATGCAGCACGGGGGTCAGGGAGACGATGTAAAGAGCACGCCAGGGCCACCCTGTGCCTTGACAGGAGCTGGTTTATTCGGAAACTGTATGGGCAGGCAGCGGGCTCCTCGGACAAGTGTGCCGAGGGGGCGGGTGCTGACCTGGGCCCACCCCAGCTCCTTCCCCTCCCTGACTTTGGGAGCCCCCCTCTGTATCGATGCTCAACTGGTCCCCGCTGGGAGCTGCCCTCCTTTCCCTGTGTACCTCTGCAGCTGCATCTCCAGGGTCTTGTCTCCAGCAGGGCTGGCAGCAGCATTCGAAGGCTGGGAGGGTCTGTGGACTGACAGGTGCCAGCAGTGCATGCCCTGTGCGCCTGGGAGGGTCAGCATGTTTACTACCCACCCGAGTCCCACCGTGCTTGGGCAGGGTTTGCCCAAGAGGATTTGCTCAGAGCCCTGCCTAGCGGCCCTGTCCTCACAGGTGCTCAGGTGGGCCACATCCGAGGGCCTTCCCAAGGCCATGCTTAGTGATCAGGAAAAGGGCCACTGGGCACAAGAAGCCCAGAGGAGGTGTCAGCAGTGGTGCTTGTCCTTCAGCCCATCAGGCTCAGGAGAGCAGGCCCCACCCCTCAGTCTCTGCAGCTCCAGGGACGGCACGCACAGCTGCGGAACACTTGCAGGGTGAACTTGAGCTGCTGTCCTGGTGCGTCGGGATCCGGACAGGGCAGCACCAGCTGCTGCTTGTAGGAGATGAGGGGGTGGCAGCAGCCACAGTGGTTGTCCACTTGCTGGGTGTCAATGTTGAAGCTTCCAGGAAGCCAAGACAGAGCAGAGATTAGAGCTGCCGCCCAGGAGTGTGCCCGCCTCGAGTTCCCAGACAAGGCCCTCGGGAGCGTGCTCCTCTCGCTGCCCTCGTCTCCCTGACTTGCAGGTCCCCAGGTGCTGTGGTTACGAGGGAGGGTGGGCCAAGCCCCTGGGCAGCATGCATCTGGTCCCAGAGCACCTTGAGAACCAGTTCATGATGGGTTCGGGGCTTAGGCCTAGCCTGGACTGAGGCCAGAACTCCCGCATGGGCTCACCTGGCAGCAGAAGTGCAGGTGCCCTCGCAGCGGGTCATGGTCACATTTGCAGTGCACCCTCTGTACGTGATCTCCTCCTCCTGCTCCTGCACGCTGCACACACCTGGGAGCCAAGAGGCAGGCAGGGCGCGGCACGTGACCAAACGGAAGAAGCCTGCTAGACGGGGCCTTAGCCTGCCTCTGGTCACCGCCCTTTTACCAGGCTCCTCCTGCCCTTTCAGAGCCCCATAGGGCTCAGACCTCACAGCTGCACAGGGACCAAAGCTCGGCAGACACCTGCGTGGTGTTTCCTTTTGAAGGTCACCAACAGAGGATGCAGATATCAAGCCCTGGGCCTGGGCAAGCCACCCTTGGTCCCTGGCCTCTCCAACCCCCTTAGCCTAGACACTGACCTACGGGCATAGGTGTCTCTGGCCTGCTGGATGCCGGACCTGCAAGGGGGTGGAGAGCATATTAATGTCTCCAGAGGGGGTAGAAGGCATCAGGGGAACTCCCTGCACCCAGCCAGGAGCAGGGACATGGGGAGTCCGGTTGGCATAGAGATGGGCGAGGACGACTGTGACACAGTGCCGAGGAGACGCCTCAGCATGTGGGAGCAGAGGGTAGGCTTGACTGGTGCAGAGGTGTGGTGGCGTTAGACACTGCCAGTGTGGAGGCTGGGTGAGTTAGAATGTTGCTTGGCGAAGACCGGTTACCCTGCCTGCGTGCCCCTGCCCTGCCAGTGCCCAAGTACACTCCTGCCACAGAGCAGGCATGCTTCTTCAGCTGGGGCTTTCTCCAGGATGCGGTCAGATGGTTCATGCTGGGCCCTTGGGCCCCATGGTCCCCTACTCCCTCCGCTCCCCAGCAGGCAACCTGCATGCAGGTAATCACAAAGAGAAAGCCAAGCAGAGAGTGCCAGCCGGCAGGGACCACCTGTCCCCCAAGGAGAGGACATGGAGCCCACAGCTGGGTTTACTAGGAGGTCTGCCTAGGATGCCCAAGGCATGTAGGGGAGCCCAGTGTCTTGAGGGAATGGAGGGGCGCCCTGGAGCATAGGGGAAGCTCAGGCAGCTGCTGCAGCGGCAGCACTGTCCAAAGATGTGCTCCATCACCGGAAGCCTATGGCTAGAGGGCAGTGGATCAGCCCAGGCCAGGGTGTGAGCAGGAGCCTCGAGGTCTGGGACAGCACCCATAGGAGAAGCTAGGATCCCTGGTCTCTGACCCTAGCTCAGCCTCCAGCTTGTCGCCTGAGCAGAGGCACATGCCCGTAGCAGGCTTCTGTTTCCCCCTATGGTGAGTAGAGGACTAAGAAGCTGTAGATGGAGAGTGTGTGGGGGATGTACAACTGGAGCTCCAGGCCCTGCAGCTCCAACATCCGCTGAGCCCCCCAGGAGCTGGTGGAGAGCTGCAGGATGGCATTCCCAAGAGAGGTCAAGACTGAAGCAGGGACATGGTGGGTGGGGTGGGAGGACAGGGGACATGAGCTAGCCAAATGCAATAAACAGTCAAGGGCCAGAAGGAAGGAAAGGGCTGACCCGGGGGAGGGAAGTGGCCTGTTTGGCCAGACTGAGTTTGCATGGCGCAGGGGCCGGAGAGGTGTGGAGCAAGAAGCCTAAGGCAGATGCAGAGAGCTGGGGCAGCATGATCATGTGAGGGGCCAAGCACGGACAGGACTACATAGGATATGACATGGGGTGCTACCCAGAGTGCAGGCAGTGGGCTGGGGGGGGGGTCACACACCAAGTGCTGTGGGGCATTACTTACCAGGTGAGCTGAGTGGAGATGTAATGAGGGAGGAGGCTGAGGGGGCCTCTGTGGAATAGGGTCCCAGGGTCGCAGCAGCGGAGCTTCCATGAGAAGTGACGGTCAAGAACACAGTGGTGGGTAGTTCTGTAGAACTGGGATGCCTCGTGGTGAGGTTGGTGGTAGGAGCACTGGGAGTGACTGTGACTCCCAGAGTGGTTGACACGAGGCCTGTTGTGTGGGCTTGGGTGGTGAGAGAAGTGAACCTGGAAGTGGTGGACTGAGATGAGAAGGCAGAGGAGGGAGCACGGGTTGTGGTCCGGTGGGTGGACAGAGGGCCTAGGGTGCTAGTGGATGGGGTGGAGAGGTGCATCGTGGTCAAGGTGGACACAGAAGAGGGGAAGATGGAAGGTGAGATAGAGGCTTGAGAAGAGGTGGAGGAGGCTGGGAAAAGAGTTGTGGGAGAAACAGACACAGGCTTAGATAGAGTCAAGTGTTCAGTCGAAAATGGAGTGTGGGAGATGGAGCTTAGTGTTGGGGTGGACTGTGGAGTAGAGAGGGTGGAAGGTGATGAGGAAGTAGGAAAAGATGACACAAAGGGAGAAGATTTAGAGGAGGACACTGGAGAAGAAAGAGAGGAGGTGGACCTGTCTGAGGTGGACAAGAAAGAAGTGGCAGAGGTCCAGGGCCACAGTGTGGAGGACTGTGGAATATTCGTTGAAGGAACAGAAGTGCTTAAAGGACTTTGTGGTGAGTGTAGAGAAGTAATAGAAGAGGAAAACTGACTGGTGCTGGAGCTTTGGAAAGGGGTGGAAGAAGGAAGCATTGAGGACGTAGAGGTTCTGGCTGTGCTGAATGAGCTGTGGGCATGGCTGGTTCCCCTGGTGGTGGTGCTCAGAGGAGGGACTGAGTGTGTGGGACCTGTACCTGGGACTGAGGTGGTTGGGAGAATGGTGCCCGTTGGTTTGGGGGTAGAGACAGATAAGGTCTGATGGTGGGTAGGCGTGATGACTTGGTGAGTGGATGGAGTGACCGAGAAAGTAGAAAATGTGGGAACGAGAGTGGAAAGTGTGTTGTGATGGCCAGATGGAGAAGGAAGGATGGTGGTGGTCTTGAAAGATGTCCCCAAGGGGGTTCTTGTAGTGTGAGTTGAAAAGACAGAAAGTGTGGATGGAGAGTATGTGGTGGAATGGATGTGGGGACTGCTGGGAATGACTGAGCTGGTTTGGGCCACTGGGGTCCCAGTACTTCTACTTGAAGGATTGGCAGTGATGGTGGTGGCAGATGCTGATGTGGATCTGTCATTGGGTGTATGTGATGACACCAGGGACGTAGAGGTTCTGGTTGTGCTGAATGGGCTGTGGGCATGGCTGGTCCCACTGGTGGTGCTTGTCAGCGGTGGGACTGAGTGTGTGGTACCTGTGTCTGAGACTGAGGTAGTTGGGAGGATGGTGCTAGTTGGCTTGGGAGTGGACGAGGGAAAGGTCTGTTGATGGGTAGGAGTGATGACTCGGTGAGTGGATGGAGTGACTGAGGAGACAGAAAATGTGGGAACAAGAGTGGTGTGCGGGCCAGATGGAGGTGGAAGAATGGTGCTGGTCGGGAAGGATGTCATGGATGGGGGACCAGTGGTGTGTGGTGTAGTTGATACAGTAAGTGTAGGTGAAGAGAGTGTGGTGAAAGGAGTGTGTGGACTGCTAGGGGTGGTAGAGGAGGTGTGTGCACCTGGGATCCCAGTTCCTCCACTTGTGGTCTTGGGAATGGTGGTGGAAGCAGATGTTGATGTGGATTTGTGGTAGGGTGTGTGTGACACTGGGGAAGTAGAGGCTTTGGTTGTGCTGAATGGGCTGTGGGTATGAGTGATCCCCATTGTGGTGCCTGTTGGTGGTGAAACTGAGTATGTGGGACCTGTGTCTTGGACTGAGGTGGTTGGGAGAATGATGCCTGTTGGTGTAGGGGTGGAGGTGGAAAACGTCTCTTGGTGGGTAGGTGTGATGACACTGTGAGTCAGTGGAGTGACTGAGGAGGTAGAATATGTGGGAATGAGAGTGGGAAGTGTGGTGTGAGGGCCAGATGGAGATGGAAGGATGGTGGTGGTCTGGAAGGAAGTCCCCGAGATAGGACCAGTTGTGTGAGGTGTAGCTGAGACAGAAAATGTGGGTGAGGAGTGTGTGGTAAAAGAAGTGTGGGGACTATTGGGAGTGGTGTAACTAGTGTGCATCTCTGGGGTCCCAGTTTCTCTACTCGTGGACCTGGGAGTGATGGTGGTGGCAGATGCTGATGTAATTTTGTGGTGGGGTGTTTCAGGCCTTGTGGAAGCAGAGGTTTTCTCTGTGCTGAATGGGCTTGGGGCTTGGCTGGTCCCATGAGTGGATACTGTCAGTGGTAGGACTGAGTGTGTGGGACCTGTGCCTTGGACTGATGTAGTTGGGAGAATAGTTCCCGTTGGCTTGGAGGTGGAGGTGGATAAGGTCTGTTGGTTAGTTGGTGTGATGACTCGGTGAGTGGATGGAGTGACTGAGGAGGTAGAAAATGTGGGAATGAGAGTAGGAACTGTCGTGTGAGGGCCAGATGGAGATGGAAAGATGGTGGTGGTCTGGAAGGAAGTCCCCGAGATAGGACCAGTGGTATGAGGTGTGACTGAGATAGAAAGCGTGGATGAGGAGTGTGTGGTAAAAGGAGTGTAGGGACTGCTGGAGGTGGCAGAACTAGTGTGTAACTCTGGCGTCCCAGTTTCTCTACTTGTGGACTTGGGAGTGATGGTGGTGGCAGATGCTGATGTGGTTTTATGGAGGGTGGTTTGCGATACTGAGGAAGTAGAGGTTTTAGCTGTGCTGAATGAGCTGTGAATTTGGGTGGTCTCTTTGGTAGTGCCCATGTGTGGTGGGGATGAGTCTGTGAGACCTGTGCCTTGGATTGATGTAGTTGGCAGAATGGTGCCTGTTGGCTTAGGGGTGGAGGTGGAAAAGATCTGTTGGTGGGTAGTTGTGAGGACTCGGTGAGAAGTGGGAGTGACAGAGGATGCAGAAAATGTGGGAACGAGAGTAGAAAGTGTAGTGTAAAGGCCAGATGGAGATGGAAAGATGGAGGTGGTCTTGAGGGATGTCCCTGAGGGAGGACCAGTGGTGTGTGGTGTGGAAGAGACAGAAAGTGTGGATGGAGAATATGTGGTGAAAGGGGTGTGGAGACTGCTGGGGGTGGCGGAGCTGGTGTGGGCCACTGGGGTCCCAGTTCCTCTACTTGTGGGATTGGGAGTTTTGGTGGTAGCAGATGCGGATGTGAATGTTTCTTGAGACGTTAATGACACTGTGGAAGTAGAGGTTTTGGCTGTGCTAAATAGGCTGTGGGTCTGGCTGGTCCCCTTTGTGGTGCCTGTGGGTTGTGGAGATGAGCGTATGGGACTTGTACCTTGGACTGAAGTAGTTGGAATAAAGGTGCCTGTTGGTTTCAGAGTGGGGCTGGAAAATGTCTGTTGGTGGGTAGATGTGATGACTCTTTCACTGGTGGGAGTGACCGAGGAGGTAGAAAATGTGGGAACAAGAATAGGAAGTGTGGTTAGAGGGCCAGATGGAGATAGAAGGATGGTAGTGGTCTTGAAGGATGTTCCTGAGGAGGTTCCAGTGGTGTGTGGCATGGCTGAGACAGAAAGTGTGGATAAGTGTGTGGTGAAAGGGGTGTGGGGGTTATGGGGGGTGGTGGAGCTTGTGTGCACCACTGGGGTTCCAGTTTCTGTACTAGTGGGCATGGAAGTAATCGTGGTGAGAGAGGCTGCTGTGGTTTTGCTGTGGGGTGTTTCAGGCCCTGGAGAAGTAGAGGTTTTTCCTGTGCTGAATGGGCTAGGGGCATGGCTGGTCCCACTGGTGGTGCTCGTCAGTGGTGGAACTGAGTGTGTAGGACCTGTGCCTAGGACTGAGGTGGTTGGGATATTGGTGCCTGTTGGCTTGGGCGTGGAGGCAGATAAGTTCTGTTGGTAGGTAGGTGTGATGACTCGGTGAGTGGATGGAGTGACTGAGGAGGTAGAAAATGTGGGAACAAGAGTAGGAAGTGAGGTTTGTGGGCCAGAAGGAGATGGAAGAATGGTGCTGGTCAGGAAGGATGTCCCGGATGGGGGACTGGTGGTGTATGGTGTGGCTGATACAGTAAGTGTAGGTGAGGAGGGTGTGGTGAAAGGGGTGTGTGGACTGCTAGGGGTGGTAGAGGAGGTGTGTGCACCTGGAGTCCCAGTTCCTCCACTTGCGGTCTTGGGAGTGATAGTAGAAGCAGATGCTGATGTGGATTTGTGGTAGGGTGTGTGTGACACTGGGGAAATAGAGGTTTTGGCTGTGCTGAATGGGCTGTTGGTAAAGCTAGTCCCCTTTGTGGTTTGTGTGTGTGGTGGAGACAAGTGTGTGGGACCTGTGCCTTGGTCAGAGGTTGTTGGAATTAAGGTGCCTGTAGGCTTGGGGGTGGATGCAGAGAAGGTTTGTTGCTGTGTAGGCGTGATGACTCGATGAGTAGACAGAGTGACTGAGGAGGTAGATAATGTGGGAACAAGAGTGGGAAGTGTGGTGTGTGGGCCAGATGGAGATGGAAATGTGGTGGTCTTGAAGGATGTCCCTGACAGGGGACTGGTTGATACAGAAAAAGTGGGTGAAGAGAGTGTGGTGAAGGAGGTGTGTGGACTGCTAGGGGTAGTATAGATGGTGTGTACACCTGGAGTCCCAGTTCCACCACTTGTGGTCTTGGGAATGATGGTAGAAGCAGATGCGGATGTGGATTTGTGGTGGGGGGTGTGTGACACCGTGAAAGTAGAGGTTTTGACTGTGCTGAATGGACTGTGAGTATGGCTGGTACCTTTTGTGGTACCTGTGTGTGGTGGGACTGAAAATGTGGGACCTGTGCTTTGGACTGAGGAGGTTGGGAGAATGGTACCTGGTGACTTGGGTGTTGAGGCAGAAAAGGTCTGTTGGTGGGTAGATGTGACGACTTGGTGAGTGGATGGAGTGACCGAAGAAGTAGACATTGTGGGGACAAGAGTGGGAAATGAGGTTTGCAGGTCTGAAGGAGATGGAGAAATGCTGGTGGTCAGGGAAGATGTCCCAGATGGGGGACTGGTGGTGTGTGGTGTGGTTGCTATAGAAAGCGTAGGCAAGGAGACTGTGGTGAAACGGGTGTGTGGACTGCTAGGGGTAGTAGAGGAGCTGTGTGCACCTGGGGTCCCAGTTCCTCCACTTGTCTTGGGAGTGATGGTGGAAACAGATGTTGATGTGGATTTTTGGTGGGATGTGTGGGACACCATGGAAGTAGAGATTATGGCTGTGCTGAATGAGTTGTGAGTCTGGCTGGTCGCTGTTGTGATGCCTGTTTGTGGTGGGACTGAGTGTATCGAACCTGTGCCTTGGAGTGAGGTGGTTGGGAGAATGGTGCTTGTTGGCTTGGGTGTTGAGGCAGAAGAGGTCTGTTGGTGGGTAGGTGTGATGACTTGGTGAGTGGACGGAGTGACCGAGGAAGTAGAAAATGTGGGAATGAGAGTAGTAAGTGTGGTTAGAGGACCAGATGGAGATGGAAGGATGGTGGTAGTCCTAAAAGATGTCCCTGAGGTGGTTCCAGTGGTTTCTGACATGGAAGAGATAGAAAGTGTGGATGGCAAGTGTGTGGTGAAATAGGTGTGGGAACTACCAGGGGTGGAGGAACTGGTATGTGCCACTGGGGTACCAGTACCCCTACTAGTGGACTTGGGAGTGCCACTGGTGGCGGACACAGTTGTGGATACATGGTGTGTTGTTTGTGACACCAAAGATGTGGAGGTTTTGGCTGTGCTGAATGGGCTGTGGGCATGGCTGGTCCCACCTGTGGTGCTTGTCAGAGGTGGGACTGAGTGTGTGGGACCTGTCCCTTGGACTGAGGTGGTTGGGAGAATGATGCTTGTAGGTTTGGAGGAAGAGAAAGTCTGCTGGTAGGTAGGTGTGATGACTCGGTGAGTGGATGGAGTGACTGAGGAGGTAGAAAATGTAGGAACAAGAGTAGAAAGTGTGGTATGAGGGCCAGATGGAGATGGAAGGATGGTGGTGGTCTTGAAGGGTGTCCCTGTGTGGGAACCTGTGGTGTGAGTCATGGCTGAGACAGAAAGTGTGGTTGAGGAGTGTGTGGTGAAAGGTGTGTGGGGACTACTGGGGGTGTAGGAACTGAAGATGTGGAGGTTCTGGCTGTGCTGAATGAGCTGTGGGCATGGCTGGTCCCACTGGTGGTGCTCGTCAGTGGTGGAACTGAGTGTGTGGGACCTGTGCTCTGGACTGAGGTGGTTGGGAGAATGGATCCTGTGGTCTTGAGAGAGGAGGTGGATAAGGTCTGCTGGTGGGTAGGTGTGATGGCCCGGTGAGTGGTTGGAGTGACAGAGGATGTTGAAAATGTGGGACTGAGAGTAGAAAATGTGGTGTGAGGGCCAGATGGAGATGGAAGGATGGTGGTGGTCTTGAATGATGTTCTTGAGGGGGTTCCTGTGGTGTGTGGTGTGGATAAGACAGATAGTGTGGATTGCTGGTGTGTGGTGAAAGGAGTGTGTGAACCTTTAGGGGTGGTAGAGGTGTATACACCTGGGGTCCCAGTACCCCTACTAGTGGGCTTGGGAGTGATGGTGGTTGCAGATGCAGTTGTGGATTCATGGTGTGTGTTTGACACTGAAGATGTGGAGGTTCTGGCTGTGCTGAATGAGCTGTGGGCATGGCTGGTCCCACTGGTGGTGCTCGTCAGAGGTGGGGCTGAGTGTGTGGGACCTGTCCCTTGGACTGAGGTGGTTGGGAGAATGGTGCCCGTTGGCTTGTGGGTGGAGGAAGAGAAAGTCTGCTGGTTGGTCGGTGTGATGACTCGGTGAGTGGATGGCGTGACCGAGGAGGTAGAAAATGTGGGAACAAGAGTTGGAAGTGTGGTGTGAGGGCCAGATGGAGATGGAACGATGGAGGTGGTCTTGAATGATGTCCCCGAGGGAGTTCCAGTGGTGTGTGGTGTGGAAAGTGTGGATGGTGAATATGTGGTGAAGGGGGTGTGTGGCCTGTTGGGGGTTTCGGAGCTGGTGTAGGCCACTGGGGTCCCAGTTCCTCTAATTGTGGTTTTGGGAGTGATGGTGGAAGCAGATGCTGATGTGGATTTATGGTGGGGTGTGTGAGAAACTGGGGAAGCAGAGGTTTTAACTGTGCTGAATGGGCTTTGGGTCTGGCTGGTCCCCTTTGTTGTGCCTGTGTGTGGAGGGGATGAGAGAGTGTGACCTGTCCCTTGGATTGAGGTAGTCGGAATAAAAGTGCCTGTTGGCTTGGGAGTCGAGGTAGAAATTGTGTGTTCTTGGGTAGGTGTGATGACTCGTTCAGTGGTGGGAGTGACTGAGGAGGTGGAATATGTAGGAACTAGAGTAGACATTGTGGTATGAGGGGCAGGTGGAGATGAGAGGACGGTGGTGGTCTTGAAGGATGTTCTTGAGGGGGTTCCAGTGCTGTGTGGTGTGGAAGAGACAGAAAGCGTGGGTGGCGAGGATGTGGTGAAAGGGGTGTGGGGGCTGTTGGGAGTGGTGGAGCTGGTGTGTGCCGTTGGGGTCCCCGTACCCCTACTAGTGGACATGGGAGTGATGGTGGTTGCAGATGCAGTTGTGGATTCATGGTGTGTGTTTGACACTGAAGATGTGGAGGTTCTGGCTGTGCTGAATGAGCTGTGGGCATGGCTGGTCCCACTGGTGGTGCTCGTCAGAGGTGGGGCTGAGTGTGTGGGACCTGTCCCTTGGACTGAGGTGGTTGGGAGAATGGTGCCCGTTGGCTTGTGGGTGGAGGAAGAGAAAGTCTGCTGGTTGGTCGGTGTGATGACTCGGTGAGTGGATGGCATGACCGAGAAGGTTGAATATGTGGGAACACGAGTTGGAAGTGTGGTGTAAGGGCCAGATGGAGACGGAAGGATGGTGGTGGTCTTTAAGGGTGTCCGT